ACAGCGAATGAAATCACAGGCGAATAAGCGGAGACAAAGTAGACACTGCATAGACAGTTCAGGTTTATGAACAGTAAATATTAGACTAGAAAAGCCTTCATATTACTTTAATTTGTTGTTTTACTTGTTTTTATTAAGATTATATAAGCTTACTATCCCTTGATATTAATTAAAATTGAAAATGTGTTCATTGTTTTATTTCATTTATCGCGATATTATCGAATATCGTGATAATTTCCTTGACAATAATCGTGAGATGATTTTTTAAATATCGCCCAACCCTACAAATTACACTTCCTATTCCATTGGCAATGTTCATACAGATCTATATTATATATGTACATTTATATATATAGTCCCCAGCGAAAATATATATACTATAGCAGTATAACCCTGCATGTGTATTAAAAGTTTTCGGCTAATGTGTCGGCGAACAATGTGCAAAAAAGCGAGTTCTTTTTCTAAATTTTATCAGTTTTAACAGTATCTTAATGGTTCAGGGTTCGTACACCTTCTCCCATTTAAAATTCCATGACTTTTCCATGACTTCCCATGACCATTTTTTCAAAATCCATGACCTGGAAGTCTGGAATTTCTGAAATTCGTTAATATTTTAACGATAACAGATATAATAAAAAACAAAATTCACTTCGCTCTTGCAAAAATCATGTTATATAACAACAATTCATATTACTGTTATGGCTGGTGAATTGAATAAGTAAAATACTTTGTTAATGTTATGTAAAATTTTAATTTTCCATGACTTTCCATGACTGAGATTGATTTAATTTCCAGGATTCCAGGCCTGGATTTTGAAATGTTGAAATTCCATGACTTTCCAGGTTTTCCAGGACCCGTACGAACCATGTTGGTTTTACTTGACTTGTGTGTGAAAGGTGCCTTTTGTGTTAATGACGGATGGAATTGTTTCTACATTAGTTTTGGGGAAGATTTGCGTCGTTTAACAAATCAATAATTGACTAGGCAAGCCAAAAAAGGTATGGGGGAGGGACAATTGTATAAAAAAGTAATAAATGCGTTCATACTGCAAAAGGCTAAAATCTCGCGTTTTTGTACATTCGCCACAGTGAGATAAAATCGATACAGTGCACGTTTCATTATAGTTTCAAAATTAAGCTGCTATAACACATATGTGAATTCATTACCTATAATAATTATAAATCTATTTACCGACGGAGTAGTCTATCATTATTAATGCTTTGGTCTTCAGTGGGCTTTATTACTGCTCTTCTGTGTGGGGAAACACTTCCAAGAATTTAGATAAATTGCAAAAAGTACAGAATTTCTCAGCCGGCATTTTATCTGGCACAAAAAATTTCAGCATATATAACTCCTATTCAATCTCGAAACCAGAGCCCGCAATCCTCTGTGGAGGCTTGCTGAGGCTCTGGGAAACACTGGCGAAAGTCGGGCTCTGATTGGTTGTTTTTCAACATCCTCGTCCCCAGGCCCAAGCTCGGGCAAGCTCGGGCGGCCCTCAAAGTTTTTCAAGTGCTAATTATTATTCAAACTTTGAGCCGTATTTAGTTATTCGGATTTCAAACATCGTTTAAAATTAATATAAAGTTTATTTCTCTTTGTGCATTATGTTTAAACATATCAATGAAACACATAGCATAATTTTAATAAACTTATTAATCTTCCCTAGCTTCTCATATGAAATCAATAAACTATTCAGATCATTGATATGCCAATAACAAAATGTAGAATAACAACAATGCAGCATTACCATATAAGCTAGTCATGATAAGCCGTTGCCTATAATATTTAAAATAACACAACAATCCATGATTTACCGTAATTAAAAAAGTTAAAATAAATCACTACCAGTATCTTACAACAATTCAAAACCATGGCAAGTGTTCTTTGAAGAACTAAAGTCGTAATAAGCTTAAACAACGGCATAATTCATGTTTGACGGCAGTAATGTCTATTTATAAATGTCGAGCGGAGTACTGGATTCAAATGTACTGATTTTCGTGCAAAAGTCGCCGGTGTTTCCCAGAGCCTCAGCAAACCTCCACAGAGGATTGCGGGCTCTGGTTTCGAGATTGACTCCTATTTTGAAAGAGTTAAATTGGCTTCCAGTCCATCTTAATGTGAAACTTCGCGAAAGTGTCATGACATTCAAATGTGTTAAAGGCTTCGCACCATTTCTATATAAATTAGTTCTTAAATTTTAAAATTCTTGTAATTTGATGCTGAAAAGCATCAAATTTCAAGAGGGGAACTTTCAAAATAAAGTATAATTTGTGTATATTCTGTGATACTATAATTTATGGTCCATGCTATATGTAGCCCTATATAGCTGTTATTACATCGATTTTCGAAATCAGCGTTCCTGAACTGACTATAAACAGTCTTAGTTATATATAGACAATTCAACAAGGTAAGTTATATTTTCTAAATATTGTTTGAACAAACTATATAAAATTCTATAGTGTGAACATAAATATTTTCATGATAAAACGTTGGACGTCAAATTCTCACCAAATAC